GGGGAGGTCCGTAAGCCGGGGGAATGGAGGGGGGAGATGGATTATTCAGAAATAAAAATATATATTACGACGAATTTATACCAGCAGAAGTCAGCAAAAATATGAAAAAAACAACGTTGGACAATGTATATTTTTTAACTCGCCTGGGAACCCTGCTTTGCAGGAAACAGACAACCAAATAAACAAACACGAGGCTTAAGGGAGCTTCACACCCCCTTTCGTATTATCAATTTATGATTTGAACTCTTAAAAGTCTCCGGTTTTTACTATTATTGGATATAAACAAACAGACACCTAGACACCCAAATATCTACGTAAGGATGAATAAATGTATGTTGTTGTTAGGCCCATGTGTAAAAAAAGGCAGTAAATGTGAAATTAATTCCACCAAAAATAACAAATTTTCTGAAAGGAGCGTGTTACACACGACCTCTGCGTTCAGCGGTCAATATTCAACTGAAGAGTGAGAACATTTACGAAGAATAAATAGAATTTATATACAGAGTGTCACAATAAATGTAAGAATTGACTTAGGGACGAATACCTAGACCGTCTTTTTAAGAAGTAGCAAATTGTAATACCTGATTTTAAAATTCATAATATAGTTATGTCTGCTAGAGTTTATTTTATGAAAAGGGTAAAACTAAAAGGCTGTGATGTGGTGTTAGAAATTTTCGAAAAGACACTTTACGAAGGACGATTTCCCAAGTGACAACTTTCTAAATGTGCAATTTCTCAAGCGGTAACCTTCCAAAGGATAGGTTAAGTCATTCTCTTGAATTGAAGGTATCCAAAACACCAAAATGACATTCATATTTCTAACAATATTAATTTTTTGTATGCTTTCAGTGATAGGAATAGGTCTTCACAATTGGGAGCTGTATGTTTGCAATCAAAACATAAACAAATACAGTTTATACCCTAGCATTAGATTAAAGCTATATTTGTGTATACTTTACTAAATCAGAAATTATTTTCAAAGACGATATCGAAATTTTCGCTCAATTTCCATGTTTTGTGGGACACCCTGTATGTAAAGTTGAATCATTGATGACTCTTTTTTCATTTTAAAAAAAATCCGTTTTACTTTCTTTCTTTGCAAAATTTTCGCATTACTTTTTTATTTGGACATAAAGCATGGGATTTAGAGGGGGGGGGTCAAATTGACCCCCCCCAGCGTATCCTGGTTTTCAAGTACCCCAGCAGGGATAGGGTTAATTCTCGAAAATTTCGCATTTTTTCTCAAAACAGATCAAAGCGAAAAAATTTCCCATTTTTTTGCGAGCGAACAAAATGTAAATAAATGCGAAATTTTCGCGAAACGGTTTTGTTTTCCTTTTTTGCTGGAAAACCTAGCTGAAATGCTGTAACGCCTGGCCTATGATTTTACTCTCCCAACTCACTTTAACTTTTGTGAAGGCTTAGACTTTTACACTTTAGAGCTATAATTATTCAATGTAGGATGTTTTATGAAAGATTAGATTATCGTATTTATGATATATGTTTAATGATATATTTATTTTGTACTGAAGAATTACAATTAAAACAATACAAAAATGAAAGACAACGTTTCAGAATGAATTTTAAAACTGTTTCTTTATAAGACATTTTTTTATATATTTATAAGACAACTTTTTATTTATTTACATGAGAACTTTTTATATATTTTGATATTACCTTTTTTTAATATATTTACATTATAACTTATCTTCCTGTTGAAATGGTCAAAATATAAAAAATACTTTAAACATCTAAATATTTCAAATTATCACAACTTTCTTCCAAAATGGCAGCAAACAAATTTTAAACTTGAGAAATGATAATATTTGATGCTATCTAATTACTCTTAAATAGACTGAAAACGTAATTTAAAGTGCAATTTCAAGTGCCATTTCAAGTTACCCCCCAAATGGCAGAGTGGTAAGTTCGATTCACAAAGTTACCCTTAATAGCTGTGTCTGATCAAATATGATTTATATATCCATGTTTTTGTGATTTCTCTTCAAAAATATCCTGCAGCACATTTCTTGCTTCAAAATTAAAAACTTTTAAAAGCAGAAAAAACGCCGATATCTTTCCTACAATTGATCAGATACCTATCTACCTTTACGAGACTCATAAACAATCTTCGTTGCTCTAAAAATTAAATGTTTCTTACGTGGTTAAAAATAATTTACAATAGTTTTGACTTTTGGTCCGAGTAACTATTCTACAATTTTCACAATGAGCATACAATTTTGAAATGACCTAGTGTTCCGGGAAGAATTTTGTCGAAGAACGTCTCAAATTGTTGTGGTACCTTTTTGAAAGAAAAAAAAAACGATGCTTATCTCTAACGGAAAGGATTTACTTTAAGAATAACATCGCCTAATGTTTTCAAATTGGTACAAGGTGCGTGGGAGGGAATTTTCTCATAAGAGTTTCTTTCATAATATAAGATTCTCCATTAAGGTAAGAAGATTATAGAACTTTTCTCTCTAACGAATTATTTAAGTTAAGTGTAAGTGCTAACTGATTCATACTCATTGCTTCAAAAAATCTTTACTGCACTACTATTGAAGAAAACCAAATTTTGCAATTTCTAAGGTTTTGACTCATAAAAATGTCCTGAAAAAATGCAGGGAATTTTGCTTTTCATCAAAGCATAGCCAGGGCATAACTTTGGAGGAACAACATTCTCGAATGAAATTTTGGATATTAAATTGTTAAAATTTTCTTTTAAAAAAGTGTGAAATGCACTATATTCAATTTTAGCATTATTAGATACAAAGTTATTTGCTTTTTTAAGGTCTTTCAGTCTTCTTACCTTTTTCTTTTCGTACTGCATATCTTACTTTTGATAGCATTAAAAACACAGAGTAGAGAATAGAATATATAGAAGAAAGTTAAGAGTTTCCCTTGGTATGAATTTAAGTCTGAGACAGAGTTTAGAGTAGAGATGGGCATCTTTCATGTAAAGGAACCGAAATTTTTGTGAACGATAGTGTTGTTCAGACGATTGTTTTATTTTGAAAAACTATCATTTTATTGAACGAACGATTTTACTGAACAATCGTTCAGTGAGAAAACTAAGGATATAGATGAAAAATGAACGATAATTTTGCGATCAAACTAAACCATTTTGTTAAGTTATTGGAAAACAAAATTGAACAAAATGGGTCATTCAGAAACGATGAACGAACAAAATGAAAAAAAATGAACGCGCTCATCTCTAGTTCAGAGTGTACAATGCATGTAAATACTCGCAAGTTATGCACAGTACAACACAAAAATACATTATGATTCCTATACAATCCGTTGCAAGTCTTTTTTTCTTATTGTTAAATTAAAGATGAATTAAACTTAACGTAACGTAAAAATCGTCGTTTGAAATGTACGGTACCATTAAAACAAAATGGCGGTTTAACACTTTTTTAACTAAATTTTACTCTATATAATATTCTCTCATCTCTGATTAAAAGTCACAATAGACCAAAAAAAGAACAGACATCAGCTTATAGTTTTGGATGGATAAATCATGTATGGCTAAATCAGTCCACAAGGTAGAATTGAATTGATTGATGTTATGATGATTTTCATTCACACAGAGGTCCAAGGTCCAATTATTGCTTGATTCAAACCGACACAAGCATGTACAAGTAGTGGCCAGGCTAGTTTTATATGTATTTACTGGTACCAGCCTGTTAACCAGTTCACCCCTTTGATTGAACCAACTCAACTACCAACTAGATGTAAATATGCTGTTTATGTATCACTCAAAACTAGATTGATATAAATCCCAGTCACAGGAAAAGTCAAGTGGATACGGCGAAAATCACTTTTTTAATGTTTTACTAACATAGCCAATCCCTGACTTTCCTAGATGGGAGTGAAGTTTTGACCTGGCTGGGTCAAAGCCACTCAATGGATTCACTTGAGTTACTTATATCCTCAAAGGAGTTTATCTCACATCAGTACTGGTTGCTCTAATGTATTTTCTTAGTATGGACTGGTTTACTGAACCTGGAATGTCTAATGTCCAACTCGCTGGATCTAAGAAATTTAGAGATGGCACTCTGGTAGAAGATAAGAGGGAACTTGTAATGTCCCCTGCTGTGACCTACCATTTTCTAGTCGTGTCGGGGCAAACACCCATCTACAAATACAAAAAATATAAATTCAAGGGACTTTAGACTTTTTTTAAACTTTAATTAAAGAGTTGCATATCATTCCTCTTTAACCCTTAGTTTATTTTTAAAGAATATATCAATTCTCTCTACTATACAAGCTCGTCATAATGTCTGCTACTCTATTCCTTGTCTAAATAACGCACTTCCGGCTTAGATTCTCAACTCCCTGGCCAGGAACAGCTGATTCCATTCAGTTTTTTTTCAATTTGCCAAGTGAAGAGGAGTTACGCTGAATTTGAACCTTATTTTATGTGATTATTATTACGTGTTCATGATTGATTCTGGAAGATTGTATCTGCTCATTCGCACCTTACTGTTTTAGTTTGGCGAGTGCAGACTTTCTTGCTGTATTCTTTCTTTTTTTTAAACTTTTTAAATCTTCCAAAATCCACAAGGAAACTGTGAGCTGCCGCCCAAGTATTTTTAGCTAGCTATTGCTACTGTAGAGCTCGTAGATTGAGAGAATTCATATTTTTGGCGTAATGTCCTCTAAAACTCAAAAAATGGAGCAAAAAATGAAATTTTGATAAATGGGTAGTTTACCTGTATCCTTGTGATGATTCCTCTAGCAATTCAATATCATTCATATTTCCACGAAACTCACTTTTAAAAGAAATATTTCAAATTTAAGATAATGAATTTTTGCTACATTGGGAGATGTCTTTCATTTCTTTTGAATTTCTTTAGAAGTAGTGTTTACTAAACTTAAATATTGGCTAATTTTATTTAAATATCTATTTTCCTGTTTGTTCCGCCAGCCACAACCAGGGTATTTCCATCCATACCTATACTGGCAGAATCATGATGCTCATCATTAAGGTCAGGTAGATCCTTCCATCCTTCTCCCTCAATCAGATACTCTACTTTTCTTCCAGAAACAACCACCACGGCCCAGCTAAATTTATAACAAACATTAACAAAAGTATACACATGGCATATCCCAATATTATAAACATTTTTTGTTATCAAACTGAACAAATGGTTGTAAAGTAGTAACAAAATATTCCATAATTACCTTTTGCCTATTCTAGCTAATCCACACCCTGGACTGGTATGGTAATGCTTACTAGGGGGCAGAGGAATCCAAACATTATCATTAAGAACATAAGCATTTATATCTGTGTTTTCCTCGAATGCTCCGACAACAACAAGTCCAAAATGAGTTCCAACTGCACATCCTTCGTACAAAGGAGCAGGTAACTCAGGTCCAAACTCCCACTTCCCCAACCTGCAAATGTTAATGTATATATGCTACGATAAGACTAGCCAGTACCCCTAAATGCATGACAAGTACGATTACACTAGACTGGCTTGCACGTGTGAAAGGATGTACCCGTCAGGAGCTGTAGAAATATTTTACCAACTTATAGGCACCGATACTTGCAAACCAAGGTGTGCAAGCTCTTACGCAAAAATTGAGCATTATTTTCCCAATTGTTTAATAAAAATTATACCTAGAAACAAGTGCATTGTGGTTTAGGGCTGGGCACGTGCCAACTTTTTCAAGTTGTTTTTTTAACGGTTAGTTTTAACAGTTTTTAAGATAAAATTTCAGGTAGCCGTTAGTTTTAGAGGGTAAGAACAAAACTTTGTTACCTTAATGGTATTTTCTGTTTTTTTTTTAAGTTACCATTGGTTAACAATCTTAATTAGATTAACGACGTTAATGGAAAATTTCTACAATCATTAACAGCTCCCGCTATTAATGGTACTAGTCGTACAGAATTAACGGCGAAGCGGCAAAAAATTTCATTAATGCCAAATTGGCCCACCCTTACTATAAATAATGGGAGGATTCATATGGTGTTTTGCCTGATTTCAAATTATATTATTGTATAATGTACAACTTGCTGCAGCTAAGGGTCAAAGTCGAACATTTATATAAGTACAGATTCAAAATGCAAAGGAATTGAGTTTTTGCCACAAACTAAAATCTTCTGATTACAATATCTTTGCAACCTTATGGTGCAAACCTTTGATATTTCAAACTTAGATTATTTTATCTATAAGTATTAATAGTTTGAAATATCTAAGGTCTACGGCATTGGGTTCCAAAGATATAGAGATTAGAAAATCAGAGTTTGTGGCAAAAACTCAACAAGAATGTTGTGACTTTTGAAAGTGGCCCACATTAATTACGCAAAATGAGACTAAAACTTGACAAAGCAAGTTGAGGACAAAAATTTAAAAAGTAAGTTGGAAGTTGTTCAATGAGGACGCACAATATGGATGCACAATGAAGATGCACAATATACAATGAAGATGCATAATAATGGTATACAATGAAGACGCACATCAAAGACACACAATAGTGACGCACAATGAAGACACACAATGCATTAATAAAGCATAGAATATCAAACATTACATACCGTGGATCAAAGAATTGCACAGTTTTGGTTCCAGCTCTTTCATGATCATAGGGTTTAACACTTCCACCTAGAATAATTAATTCAGTTTTGGACACTTTTAGCATTATAAGACTTTTTTATCCTTATTTGCAATATTTTACATTATTAGATACCTTTATCAATATTTCAAATTTGATCTTAAATTTGACACTTTTATTAATATTTCAGGCTTTTAATACATTTTGACACTTTTATCATTATATCACACTTTTATTATTTTTTCAGATCCATTATTATTTGACTCTTTTTTTAGAATTCAGAATTTACTTTTAAAAGTAACAATTGTTATTTTTTACCGATATTTAAAAAAAAAAGATTTAAATAACCTATAATAAAGAATTTTCCATTGTAAACAGCACCAATCTGGAGATAAAGGGGCCTGGGCGGAATTGTCATTGGTTTCCAATCTTCTCTGAAATAGATATTATTTAGTAGATTTGTATATTTATAATATCAGAAGAAGTATTTATAATGTTTACCTTTTTTGTAGATCAAAGAACCAACAATCATATTTAGATAAAGAATAACCTTCTCGACTGAAATAGAAAAATTCAAAATATTAAAAACTGAAAATTAATGTTTATGATTTATAAATTAATCTACAACTTTGTTGATACAGACATGATGAGTAAGTATATTTTTCAAAATTTTGAAATCACCTGTCAAGATTACAAAGTATTATTTTGCTCTCAACTAATCCCACTGTTGGTCTGTATACAGGTCTAAAATAACATTATTATTATTAATTATCAAAACCATTATTTGTTTCAATCAATTTTATCTAAAAGACTAAATAAAAAAATAAAAATCTTGTTATTTTCTGAAATATATGATAGTAGATAAAATAATTTGACTCACAGTCTCAAGTCCAAAAAAAACTAAACATTTACAAATAAAAACTGCAAACAATTAAACCTTTTGCAGAACAAACATTTTTAATTTAACGAACAATTTTGCAGAACAAACATTTTTAATTCAACGAACAATTTTGCAGAACATACATTTTTAATTTAACGATCAATTTTGCTAAACAAACGATATTACTCAACGAATGATTTTAATAATCAATCAACGTTATTGTGCAAAAGTTTAGTCAAAAAACCCAACAAAACAGATGACAAAAATTAAAGTTGTTTCAAAAAATTAAAATATTTTAAAGACTTGCAAAATGGGTGTATAAACAAATCTAAATATAAATTTAGCTTGTCTGGGTGTTTGTTTGTTTGTATCCAATAAACGTCAAAACGGCTGAACCGATCGGGCCCAAATTTTTTGAGGGACATCACGTGACCATAGGGAAGGTTTATGAATGATAAAGATTTAAAAAAATGTGTTTTAAAGGTTTTTCATTTGTAAAATAATTTAAATTCTTGAAAATCCGCTATTTTTTTTTAAATCCGCAAAATTTTGTTCTTCTTTGTTTTAATATGTAAACAAAAAGATTATGTTCACAATTTAAATAGAGGATGGGCGCGAAGCGCCCTAAAAGCCTAGTGTTTTTTAAAAAAAAACATACACGCCCATCTCTAATAAAAAATAAATAAAAATATAATAAAAACCTGGGAAGACTGGAGATTTTGAGGTTGCAGGTATGGTGTGAACTGATTAATGCAGATGGCGGGAGTTTATTGAAACTGTCCCAGTTGTGTCCCCCCAACATCACAAGCAATGGACGCAGTCGTAGGAATTTTGCATCTGAAAAAGTTTTTAAAAATTAAAAATGATTAAGTTTTTTACAGGGCTACCCAAAAAGGATGAGACTTGAGATACGACTGTACTGAAGTTATACTGTTTGTTTTTTATATTCATGATTCCCTAATCCCTGCAACTGTAAACTTGTTTCTTTCTTAAGAAGACATAACTAAACCTTGAAATCTGTCTATTATATGAATTTCAGGTCGTCTTTACAGTCTCATCCTTTGAGAGTAACCCTGACTTTCTTGAAAAATTCTGTGTCATGGCTGCATAAAGCACCTGTTAAATCTTATGACAAAAATATAGCAATACAATATCTTTCCTTTATCATGATTTATGACTGGTTTTAATTAGCAAAAAGTCTTCAAATGCACGGCTTATTTGACGAGTCATTGTTTTATGAAAAGGATGTATCAGGGATTTCACGGAGTAAATATTTTTACAAAAACAAAACAGATATAGTTTCTGTACTGAAGGTCATGTCTGATTCACGATTCCTCTTTAAAACTTCATTTCAACAAAAAGAACATCATTTTTTAATTTTTTTTTTCTATAGATCCTAATGTTGGATTTATGCAGCAGTGACAAAGTAGGCAATTTAAAAATTTTCACGACGATATCTTCGCCATTGTTACCCATATGAAGGTCTGTGAATCGTGAATTCAACTTTGTAATTAAGTGGTCACTCAAAATTACGTTAACAGTCCCTTTTCTGTACCTGAACTTCGCTGTTTATTGTTAATGCCCTCGTTAAGAGCATAGTAGATTTTCGAAGTCCAGAATGTATGTTGATGCTGTTGAATGTCGTCTTGTACTCGGAGATGGGTTGGACCAGATACAGGATATAGTTTAGGAGGTACACAGCACTTAAACATTATATATATAAATGCATGAATTACTGTAAAGAGTTCTGACTATAGATGGATTAACGTGAATGGTGAAGAGTATAACTAGATTACCGTGATTGGAGAAGAGTATATAGATAGATTATCGTGATTGGTGAAGAGTATAACTAGATTACCGTGAATTGAAAAGAGTATAACTAGATTACTGTGAATGGACAGGAGTATCAATAGATTACCGTGATTGGTGAAGAGTATAACTAGATTACCGTGAATTGAAAAGAGTATAACTAGATTACCGTAAATGGAGAAGAGTATACCTAGATTAACGTGAATGGTTAAGAGTATATCTAGATTACCGTGAATGGAGTAGAGTAGAAAATGAGAAAGCTTGTCCCGAATATTAGACAGACCGCAGACGTTAACTGCACTGAGGATTCCATTGGCAGACAAACCCCACTACAACATGTTTTTATTCAATTCTTAGAATTATACAGCAAGTCCAATAAAACTGTGGAAATGGAAGACGACGTTCAGACACAAATTATGATTTCAAATAATCTAAAGAACATTAAATACAATAATTGTGCAGTGCACACAGCGCCATTTATCCCAAATGTTTTAAATATGTTGTTCATGTGCTTTTTAATGTTCATACATTTAGACAAGTATATATATATAAATATATATATATATATATATATTTGATTTGATTTTATTTCATAGGTTACTTCTTCCTATACTGGAAAACTATTTGCTTTTTAACAACATTTAATACAAGCAAGAATGCTAAAATGTCGTCTTCCCGTTCCACAGTTTTATGGGTCTTACTTTATCAATTGTAACTGTTATAAAGTTTTTCATTTATTATAAAAGTAATTATTTTGTGATTTTGGCTTCGAAGATGATAGAAAACTCGTTAAAAATTGGTATTGTGCATTACAACTATATTATGCTTTCTTAATAGAATGGAAGAACATTTTTTTCATTTTGGAGTTTTACATTTTTTCTAACTCTTTTTAAATCAGAATAATTTTTTTTACCTGGGTCCCCCCTGTTTTTTCCCTGGGTCCCCCCTGTTTTTTCCCTGGGTCCCCCCTGTTTTTTTACCTCGGTCCCCCCTGTTTTTTCACCTGGGTCTCTCCTGTTTTTTTACCTGGGTCCCCCCTGTTTTTTACCTGGGTCCCCCCTGTTTTTTTTTACCTGGGTACCCCCTGTTTTTTTACCTGGGTCCCCCCTGTTTATTAGTTTTCTCCTCTCCCTCTTTAAATGCTGCAATTCATTTTTTTAATCTTTCCAATCTAGAATTAGCCTTGTTTAAAAAAGTAAAGGTTATTATTAAAAATGAATGACGTGACTGTGAACCAAGGTAAATTGAAGATAAAACTATAGAAATTGTAGAAAAACAAAAACCTTTTATTTCAAAATGTTTCTTTATCAAGTGCTCTAAATAGTGGAGCTACATTTGATTCTACTACGCCAATCTGTGATGAAGATCTCCATGAGGTTCTTTTGAAAGGTTCTCTTACTAATGCAGAGATTTCTGAGCCTACTGAACCGATTTTACCAAGAGTTGGTTTTGCCTGTGAGCATGTTCTAAAAGCAAAAATTCCTCTAAAGAACCTGAAATCATTAATCGATCTAGATGAGAAAGACGACCTTGTAGATTACAGATGCTGCTATGAAAAGTTTCATCAAATTTTAAGACTGGGTCAACTTTCAAGTGATGCAACGCACCTTGGCCTTTGAATTGTACTCACTTATTAATTTCTTGTTTTTGTAGCTCTAGACAAGTTTATTTTATAACTTTAAAGCAGATGCTGGCAAACTTGATCAAAACTATTTCAAACCCTTTTTTCGCGCGGCCATTTTCGCAAAAAAAATAGATAAAAAGTCACAAGACAGAAAAAAATGTCTTTAAAATATATCAATGAGAATATGAAAAGATTTGTTTTAAAACACTGAATTCAGAAAAGTTGATTTCAAATGGATATATTAATTATTAAACCAATTAAAGACAAAAAATGGTTTTTGTATTGAACATTTGGGAGTCACATAAAACTTGTTTTTTTGGCTATAAATCAAACAATTTCATATATTTTGAAAAACGCACCTTTTTTCGGTCCTGCTATTTATTTTTTAGTATATTATTTCCTTAAAATGACTCGCCATTTTTTAAACTTTTGATTGATTTTTTTGCGAAGTGCTTAGAATATTTAGGCGCAGGTGCTTGATAGATTGCAACCTTTTGATCACTGTGCCCAGTTTTGGGGTTGGAAGATTTGACCCAATAACATTCACTAACTTTTTTAAAATTCTTTTTAATTTTGAATTCGAAGAACATGAAGACGATTATATTTATAAAATGTTCTGGCCAGTACTGTAAACAATATAAATATGATTTAAAAATAAGTTATTAGAAAAAATAACCAAATAAATTTTGGTCTAAAAACTACCAATTTGTAACAGTGTTTATTCCTTTCTGTATTTCTTTTCAACATTGCTTGCTGGCATGGTAGAAATTTTCAAATAATTTCATTTTCCCTATAAAATAAAATTGCAAAACAAATATAAATTCACGTTGACATTTTGTTTTGGTAAAAACCTTCATCGGTTGCATGGATTTTCTATCCACGCACAAAATATTTTAAAATGTCATAATATACCAATTCTATTTTTGAACTGTCTATTTTTGACTAAATATCAAATATTCCGTTTTTTTTTACTAAATATTTTGCTTTCGTCAAGAGAACTATTTTAGTCATCTCATATTTTGATATTTTGAAATTTTAGAATATTAGTTATTTAACTAAAATGTAATGTGGCTGTTTTATACAGGATGTGAAAAAATAAATGCGGTGTTTATTCACGACTCTCTGCAGCTGATAACTTGTTTTCTATTTTGCTAAATCATTAGATAAGTTATTAAAAGATTATATTTAAAGCAGAAGACTCAATTTAACCTTGAAATCGTCAGATTATCCGTGTTCCGGGCCGTCTATGCATTTGTGGGTAACCCTGTAATTACAGTAGCTTTATCTTTAATTTCCATTTCAATGTAACATTATTAAATCAGGTTTGTTTGCGTTTTAAGAGCTGATTTTTTATAGCTTTAAAATTTAAGCTATTAAACTGGTCAAGTCTTCGTTTTTGTAGCATATAATTAACCCAAGAATGTAAGATCTAAAAAAGTTACTTACGATGTAATTGAGTTTCTGCCACAAACTCTGATTTTGTAATCCCTTTGTCTTTAAAACACGATTTCATAGACCTTTGATATGTCAAACCATGAATTATGGTAAATCAAGTAATGTACGTTTGAAATAGCAAAGGTTTACAAAATCAGGTTTAGTTAGATTTAGAAATTAGACAATTTATGCTCTTGGTAAAAATTCAAATCTTTTCAAAAAGCATTCATAAAAACAGGCTATCTGCTCATTTTTTTATTTAAAAGTGGCGTTTTCGCGGATTTTTCGATGCTAAAGGAGGATTTCTTCAGAGTGTTGGACGATTTTTAAAATTATACGGGCAACGCAATTATTTAAGAAACGGAAAAAATATTAAAGAAAATTTTGATTGTTGACAATATATGATGATGCATATTTTCCACAGAATTTAGATATTTTTTCATTTTCCCTGGACCTTAACAAAAATTTAAAAATTTTAAATTAAGTTTGTTGTAATCATTTATTTTATTCCAAAAAATGTATAAAACAAATCTTGTGGTTGAATTAAGTTTGTTTTAGGTAGCCTAACTAATTTGACAAAGGAATATTAGGTTTGCAAGAAAAAAAAAATGAATAATTCCGCAGAGTTTTCTCAGAGATCTCATGGTTTTTGTGTAAACCTTTATTTCAATTTTAGGTTAAAAGAGATGGTTGTATGGTTGTATGGCTGTATGGTTAGGAGTAGTATGACTGATATTGCTGGTAAAGAGCGACTGATAATAAAAATATTCGGATAGTTCTTTATATATTCTCCTCCTCTTATGGAATTCTCTCTCTCTCTCTCTCTCTCTCTCTCTCTCTCTCTCGTGTGAAATACACCAAATAATATTGTGTTCTCCACGGGTTTTTGTTAGTTGTGTAGTGCTAAAATGTAACGGGCTACAGAAAAAGCAAAAGTGAGTTAGACTGATAAAATCAAAGCCCAAGGCGTTTTGATGCGACACTTCAAAGTCGACCCTGTCTTAAAAATTGATGAGACTTCTTATAAGCAGGCTGAATCTATGTGTGCATACTGCATACTTGCGTATTTTCTCCAATTCTGACCCGCTGATCTTAATAGAATCTTTTATAATTTAAGAGAAACCATATAATAAACCATGTTTTCAATACCTTGGATTTAAAGAAAAAGCTTTGACCCACACATTTAACTGAGCTTGTGGTGTGTGTTCGGCTTTAGTGCATGTATTTTATATATATGTACATAATATTCAAACATATATATAGAGATAACATTATATGAATGGATCCATAGAACTCCAAAAAGATGGGACAAGTAAGTAAATAAAGAAAAAAAATAAAGAAAAATCATAATTAAAGAGAGATGGTTAGATAGATAAATAGATAAATAGATAAATAGATAGATAGATAGATAAATAGATAGATAATAGATAGATAGATAGAATAATAGATAGATAGATAGACAGATAAATAGATAGATAGATAGATAGATCTGAATATAGTATGATTGTCAGGTAAATAAAAAAGAAAGCAGGGAATTATAAAAAGTATACGTAAGGGGGGTTTCCCGTCACAACAGGGTCGATATATACTCCCAAAAAAGTAAACACACAACTTTTGCATTTTTACATAAAATTTGTTTAAATATATATTTTTTTTGTAAAAAAACAAAATTATATTCATCCCTCTGATTCTTTAGTCAGGATATAAGGTATGACTCATTTAAAACAAGTTTGGTCAACTGCTTAACATGATAGTTTTTTAAAAAGTGGTATTTTATCAAACCAAAAACATTAAACAAAAAAAAATTTAATTTATATATACGTCTTTTCTTTTTTATAATAATGTAATAATAAATAATGTCAGCGTCAGGTAAGAATTTACCTAAAATGTGGAAAGCAAGTGGGAGGGGTGAGGGGGGGACCTTGAGCTAAAGGGGGGGTGGTATCTGGTTGAGTTGTTAGGGGGGAGGGCATTCGACCATGAACAGCACATAAACTCTAGAAATACTATTTTAGTTTGTTTTATATACTTTACAGTGTAGCAGTTATAGATTAACGTCTAAGGGACTGTATGCGTAATTTCCGATTCAGGAATGGATTGTCCGAATCACAACAGTGTTTTGTCTAATAAGTTTTTTTACGCATGTGGTTACACTGCAAAAGTGAATGACGCATTTCTTGTGCAAAAACATGAAAAGACAATTATCAGAATTTTAAACTTTAGAAAACTAGGGTTTCCACGAAATGGCTAAATCTTTTGCGCAAAATTTGCGCTATTTTCGCGCAAATTTTATTTTTGCGAACTTTTGCGCTATTTTTGCGCATGAAACGCAATAAGTTTTGCGCTATTTATTTTTTGCGAAAGTTGCGCATGAAACGAAATTTTAGTTTTGCGCAATTTTTTTTGCGCAATTTGCGCAAAACCGCAAGTTTTACGCAAAATGTAACTTTTTAGGCACATTGTCAAAAATTGATATTCTAAGCTTAGAATTGAACAACTGAAGATTTATTCCATATACAAAAAAAAATATTAACATACGAGTATGATAACGATTATACTACACTCAATTGGTTACTTCCAGTTACAAAAAGTTTAAATTAAGGAACCAAAATTAATAAAATAGAAATTAGAGAGTGTGAAACTTGGCAATATTTTAATCCTATTAAATAATTGCAAGTGACCCGGCCTTAAAAGCTTTGTTTAATCATGAGTATGAATTGTATTCTTAAATTTTTTTTATCAAATTTCTGAAATCTTTTTAATCTCATATAAAATAATGCAAGAAAGTAACCAATGCCTGAAGAATCCACTTTTAGGAAATATGCATGTCCAAAACTAAAATTGTCGAGAAAATTGTGAGATTTGAACTCTTCTTAATTGTCGTTGGTCAATTATGTAAAAGTGACCATATAGGAAGACATTCCAAAACAAGATTTTTCCCGAATTGAATTCTAAGGAACACACACCGTCACCAACCGTTTGATTTTTACGAAATTGCGGATTTGCGCAAAACTCTTGTTGCGGAATTGCGCAAAAATTGAGTTTCGCAAAAGCGGAATAGGGCAATTTTGCGCGAAATGACTTTTGCGAATGATTGCGCAAAAATTGCGCAAAATTTTTGCGAATGGAAACCCTATAGAAAACCGACGTGATGTCCAAATTATTAATCAAAATAAAAGGTTTAAAAAGAATCATTGTAATCGGACATGCCCATCTTTCCAAATGTACGGTCAACTGTCAACAACACGTTTATATCTAAAACAAATCGCCTCAAACTAAAGTAGGATTAAACGTTAGCTTGATACCTTTTCAATCCTAATTGGTTAAATCTCATTAATGTGCGTAAAATTAAGGCTAGAGAAGCTGCGAGGTCCCCATGTCGTACAATAATCATACCGCAAGAACTTCTTCTCACTTGTTTACAGTGACATGGCCCCTTAATATTTGTTTATAAAAACATGTACTGCATACTCTGAGCAAGGCAAGGTTATAATGCAAGGAAAGTTAATTGAAGTTGCGTATACTCTGCGTACATATTGAAGCCAGTTCTCTCTGGGCGGAATTTGTAAACAAGAATAGATACATCAGTGTTACTCTAGTTTCCGAGGAAGATAAAAGCATTGATTTTGAAAATTTTGATATTCATATAATAGTTTCCTATGACCAGAATATTTCATTGATGTTTTATGTTAAAGATGGATCCCATGTCAGACTGTGACATCCGTCTTGTCTTTACATTACCGCACCCAGAGACAGTACACTTCTGTACAAAAGATGAGTACACATCTGAAATAACTTTCCTTGCATTATAACCTTGGAGCAAGGAATATAATAGAAACTCCAATAAAATAAAATGTACTGCTGTTTCTGGGTGGAATATAAACAAATCTTGGCCTAGGCAGCACTGGGCGTGTCAAAATTCCTCCCAAAAACTGTTCGTGTTTATATTCCTTAACTCTTAGTATGTTTGCTTTCATCACAGAAACTGTAATAAACTACTTTTAAAACAACGTAATTGGGGTTTATCCACAAACTCTGATTTTCTAATCCCTATAATCAAAATTTTAAATCAGTAGGTTGCATAGAAATAGGAATAAGAAAAATCGAGTTTATGACAAAGGCTCAATACCATTTAGGGGTCTGTGTTTTCATACTTAACCCTATTCCTGCTGGGGGGGGTCAATTTGACCCCCCCTGTATTTTTTTTTACATAACTCAAAAAGTATTGGTCTGAGGCTATTGAAATTTTCTGACTTTTCTTACATACCCAAAGCCCTCCCTTTAGGTCTAAAACCGGGCTTTAATACTAACTGCCTGAGTCCTCAGGCACACTGCCTGAATGACTGCTTTTGCCTGTAACAAACTAAATCTTTACCCCCCCCCAGCATATCCTGGTTTTCAAGTACCCTAGCAGGGCTAGGGTTAATTGTATTTGTCATGTCTTTCACGGACAAGAGAATATACTAAGAAAAGGTTCCCTCGGTATGAATATTTTCAGTCCCTTTATGTCTTATCTTGAGATCAAATTGTATATTCCTTATTCATTTTCACTTATTGTACTTAGTAATGCATTACATAAGTACAATACTTGCTTATTGGACACAGGACAATCCATTACAATTGTTTTTTGTCATGTTGTAAAATAAGCTTTTAAATGTGTCAAGTCAAGGTGAAATTAAACCAATATTTGACCAAAGGTTCAAACTCTTATTAAATAGAACTGTTTTCTATCAGTAGTTCCAGGCCCCAAGTGTGGGAACGAAACTATGTAAGTCCCGGGGAAAAAATCTGCAAATAAAAACTTTAAAAGAAGTCCGAATTTTCTCAAGTCCTTGTAAAAAATGTTACAGAAAATAAGGTCCTGTGTTTTGGATTCCCGGGATTTTTTCCCTAAAATAGTATGGGGGCTGCCAATAAAGGCTGAGGAAAAAAAGATCACAGGAAATAAAGTCCTGAAGAAAATATATTCGAAGCAAAAAAAAAAAAAAAAAAATCATAAATCTTGTGAAAATGAGGTCAAGTCTAATACGTTTTCATAAAAAAGACTATATTATGCATCTATACTTTGAATAAAGCCATGGGGTTTTTAATATCAATTGCATTTTCTACTATAATAGGACTTTTTTCCAGGGATGTTTTGGTATAAAATCATAATGGAGCCAGAAAAAAAGTCCTAGAAAATTAAGTCTCAAATTGATTTCCGGAGACTTTTTTAGTGAGAAATATTAGGACTTGGGAAGTACGCCTGCAGTATGTTAACAGTACAACAAAATTGCGGTTTTACACTTTTTTGGAGTTAACAGATCTCTATTTATTTTCTACTCTGCGCTGTCTTTTCATGTCTATTCTGATAGATTTGGTATTTCCCAGTCAAACTAGTTTTGGCAGTGTTAAACCCATTTTTACGATTTATTTTAAAACTGGATTAGTGGTTGCTTGTCCTTGCAATATACACATACTAATCTCAGTATTTTAATTTAAGTTTAGAGCAACCTGAATGTGAGTTATCTGCAAGATTTATTCTTAAAGGGTCTTATGTCAAATGACCCTCCATGCAAAAGCGATGCCCTTTTCACAACGGTACCCTTAATATACCCTTTTCTGATCAACACATAATGTCGAAGATATTCTCGTTTTTTAAGGTGTTTAATAGGGCTTCCTTCTGATAATTCCTCCATTTTTTTTGTAGCAAAAATGTGCAAGTCACTTTTTAAAAAAATCACAATTGATCATGATTAGTTTTCAAAATTATTAACATTGATATCTAATTTATACTTAATCAAAGGAGTACCGTTGTAAAATAGACATTCCAATATTTGCATGAAGGCGACTTGAAAATAATTTTTAGCTTAAAAGACCAAAACAAGTGTTTTTTTGTATTTTAAATAATTTTAAATATTTTACAGAAAAAGGAACGAAACAATTGCCACAATACGTATGTCTTTGCAACCTGGAGTTATAGAAATTTGATATTTCAAACTCAGAATTCTGCCGAAATGAATAAGTTAAAATTAAAAATATCAAATGTTGACACCACTATTGCAAAGATGTGTCCGAATTTAATGAATTTGAGCCGCGGCTTAAATCTGCCAAAACCGGTTTCAATTGAGCGCCGGCTTAATTCTTAAAAAAATGAATAAAATTTTAAGTGGAACTAACTATATGTGAGCTGCGGCTATTGAAGCCGTTCTTAAAATTCGTCCTCAGGATTAGTGTTTACTTTCTGTTTGACAATTGGCTGGCTAAAAAGTAAAAATTTAATTACAAAATTTTCTAAAATCATGAATTTTTATGTAATCTTTTATTTTCATAGTGTATGTAAAACTTATTTATTTGCCAAGAAGAAGTAACCCTAAAATAGCTTGTTTTTAGTGATTTCCCTTAAAAGTTTTATTTACATGCAATGCAATACCCAATTTACCCAAAAATAAACTTTACTCAGAAATATTAAAGACACCCTTTGCGGAATATGATAAAAGATAAAATTCAAAATTTGCTTTGGCTTAGGTGAGTGTGCATAGGGATAAAATTCATTGAGGGGTCAATCATTATCTTTTAAAAGTGTCCACATTTGATATCAATTTCAAGCGTTCAAGGTTAACAATACTTAACTCAAAGTTCCGATTTTAGATCAATCCTTCTTTTATTATGATTAGGTCATAGCTGCCTGAATAATAAGTCATTATTGCCTGATTCAAGCTAAAGCAACAATAAAAAAATAAATTAAATTTTATAATTTTTAAAGTTACATATAAATATGAGTAATAAAAACAAGATAAGAGATTTTAATTTAAATTTCATTTTTTAGAAAATTCAGAGATTTTAGAAATATGAACTTGGTATACTGTTTTAAAGTTTAGTTAATTTAATTTTTTTATCCTCCCTAAGTTTTCATTCATTCATTCTACTATTCTAGAATATTTAAATGCATGTATAGATATGTTTGTTTATCACAGAATGACAAGATAAGTTTAGTAAATGTATATAAAGTGATACATTCATTTAAGTAAATAGAATTATGTCAATTATGGAATACCTAACTTCTTGGACATTTTACTCATTGTTTTGATTGAATAAATCAATATAAACAGTTACCACGTAAAAAAAAATATCAAATGCGTCCAAAATCTATTATTGCCACACACACAAATCTTATAAGCTTTGCAACCTGATGGTGTAAACCTTTCTATTCATAGTTTAAAATATCCAAGTTTTACGTCATTGGGTTGAAAAGATATAGAACCTAAAAGCAAGAACTCAGTTCCTTTGAATGACCGTTGCAATATCATATAAACACAACACTTTTTCAGCTAGGTTTATATTTTTCAACTTTCATTTAGGTTTCTGCATTTGGGCATCCAGATTTAAAATATATTCTCATACAGATATTAAATATATTCCCATCCGGATATAAAATATATTCTCATACAGATATTAAAAAAATTCTCATCCGGATATAAAATTTATTCACATCTGGATATAAAATATATTCTAATCTGGATATAAAATATATAATTCTCATCCGGATATAAAATATATTCTCATCCGGATATTAAAAATATTCTCATCCGGATATAAAATTTATTCTCATCCGGATATAAAATATATTCTCATCCGGATATAAAATTATTGTCATCCGGATATAAAATATATTCTCATCCGGATATAAAATATATTCTCATGTGCCCAATCTTTGGGGAAATAGATTCATGAAAATTTTAGTGACTTTCCTCCGACACAGCTGGGAAAAACGATGAGAAATACCATTTTTTAACCTGAACATGAACAAAAAAAGGTTTGCTAAAATTTCCAAAAATTACTTAAAATATTACTTTTAACTCTGCTTAACCAATCTCAATGATTTTGGACCACAGTTTTTTTTTCGATATTTGATTAAGGGTTGAAATCTTAGATTGAAATTTTTTTCCTTCATCAAAGTGTTTTGTTCTTTCAGATTTTCCAATTTACATTTGAATACAATAAAGCAACATGAGTCAGGCAGTTAGATCTACAGGTGACTAGACCTATACAGGATTCAGGCAGTATTTAAATTCAGGCAGTCAATGCAGACCTGACATCACACCCAAGCCTCATAATAAATGCAGTGATCAACTGCAGTGAACAGAAAAAAAAACAGAAAAGTGAAAGTTATTAAAATGGAGTTGAATGTGAAAATTTTGTTATTTTTCGTGGCTATGGCAGCTGGTACAAAAGGTAACAAAATTTTAATTTCACAACTTTTAGTTTCTTTCCGATTTTGTTAAGTATGAAATTTTTTATACTATTCTTTTGTTCATAATTTTTAATTTAGATTTTACTAATTTTTCCTAGGTTCCCTGGTAAGACTGAGAGGTGGTGTGTACTTTAATGAAGGATATGTGGAAACCCTGGCTCCAACAGGTTGGGAAAAATATGAATTCGAAGGGACTGTTTACAGAATAGAATTGAGTTTTTGCCACAATCTTGGCTACCCAATATCGTGGATATTAGATATGTGAACTATGAATTCTGTTAGATTAAATAATCTAAGTTTGAAATATCAAAGGTTTACACCATTAGGCTGCAATTATACTGCAACATAAATTGTTTAAACTAAAATATTTAAAAATACTAAGTTGGACAAATTTCAGTCATTTTATTAGAAATCTGCGTTGGTTTGATCAAGGGTCTGGGTCAAATTCAGAGTTGCCTACAATAGATAAGACTGTAAAGACGACCTAAAAACCTTTGAATATGATGATTCTAAGGTTTTATAAGTCTACTGCCTTGAATATATTGTCTTTTATTGTGTTGGCAATGATCCAATGCAAGGAACCATGAATATAATGAATAGACAGTATAAATTCTGTACAGTCGTCTCTGAATTTTCATCCTTTTTAATTTCCCATAAAAAATAAAGTTTAAATTTTTTAAAATTTCTTTTTCCCTAAATATAATTTTCTTAGATTACTTGAATACTGATCATTAGCAAATGTTTTTAAACACATTGTACCATTCTTTTTATCTTTGATTCAGTGTCCGATTCACAACGGAACCTCTAATTGCTTTTCCTAATACATATCAGTTTGAATTATATATTTAACGTCTTTGTTTTTGAAAAGCATTTTTTTCATTTGTAGAAAAATGGGAATATGCTGATGTCAAACTGAATTTGATATTGATTTGTACTAATTTTATTGTATCTGTTAGAAACACGACGCTATCTTCTACATTATTGACCAGATTAAGCATCTTAATATACGATTGTTAATGTTATATCCCTTTATAGATTGAAGATCACTTACAACTACAGTCCCTTTAACCCTATCCCTGCTGGGGTACTTGAAAACCAGGATACGCTGGGGGGGGGGTCAATTTGCCCCCCCCCCCCTCTAAATCCCATGTTTTATGTCCAAATATGACAAATGATACATCATTAGAAAGCTCTTGTGCTCTACTTTTAGAATCTGCAAAAAAATTTGCAAATTTGCGAAAATTGAATTTTTTATCGCAAAATCCAGTTTTATAGTAAAAATGTTTGCAAAAAAAAATTTGTCCAAAAAATGACAAATTATACATTTTTGAAAAGCCCTTGACCATGCCATTTCAAATATGCAAAAAATTTTGCAAAATTTTAATTAACCTGATTTTTAATCAAGAAAAACTATAAATGTGCAAATTTCCTTTGACAGGTTGTTTGCAAAAAATTTGCAATTTTTTTTCGCAAAACTTGTTCAATCCGTTTCCTTATGTCATAGGCTTTCCAAAAAGCTAAATTTTATCAAAATCTGACATGTGAAAGTGGGTCAAAACAAAGATTTAGTTTGTTACAGGCAAAAGCAGTCATTCAGGCAGTGTGCCTGAGGACTCAGGCAGTTAGTATTAAAGCCCGGTTTTAGGCCTAAAGGGAGGGCTTTGGGTAAGTAAGAAAAGTCAGAAAATTTCAACAGCCTCAGACCAATAGTCAGAAAATTTCAACAGCCTCAGACCAATACTTTTTGAGTTATGTAAAAAAAACTACAGGGGGGGGGTCAAATTGACCCCCCCCCCCAGCAGGAATAGGGTTAACATAACAGTTTCCTCGCACAGTCCCTTTAACAAAACATTTTCCTCATATAAGTAAAGCCTGATATAAAGAGGAAAAAGATATTGAAACTTTTCTCACGGCAGAAGAATGAATGACTGATAAAAACATGTTGTTTTGAAAAACTGATCTAACAAACCATTAGAAATCATTGACCCTTCTTTTTCTAGAGGAATATGCCCTAAGGGAACTGCAGATGTAATTTAAGTGTCTCTTACTTACCTCATTGGAACCCTTGAAACACATTGGAACATTTGAAACACATTGGAACACTTGAAAAACATTGGAACACTTGAAACACAATGGATTACTTGAAACACATTGGAACACTTGAAACACATTGAAACACTTGAAACACAATGGATTACTTGAAACACATTGGAACACTTGAAACACATTGGAACACTTGAAAAACATTGGAACACTTGAAACACATTGGAACACTTGAAACACATTGGAACATTTGAAACACATTGGAACACTTGAAATACATTGAAACACATTGGAACAATTGAAACACATTGGAACACTTGAAACACATTGGAACACTTGAAACACATTGGAACACTTGAAATCATACTTTTAGGAATTAATATTTCATAGCGACTGTAAGCGTAAATTCAATTTACCCTTCACATGAAGCATGCAAAGATGGCAATGCCATATTTACAACAGTATCCTGGTAACCTTTCTCTGATCAATAGAACAGAAGATATTGTCATTTTTCTAGGTTTAAAAGTGTTTAATTCTGGTAATTCCTAAATGATTTCTTGAAGTAGATATGCTCAATTCACTTTATTAGAGAAACCACAGTTGAAAATAATCAGTTTTTAAAATCATAAATACGGATATCTAATTCATATTTGATCAGACAACGCTTTTCAGGGTAGCGTTGTAAACTAGCCAACTTTGCATGAAGAAATATTTAAATCACGCTAGCAGTCCCTTAAACCAGATGTGATCTAATATATGTTTAATATTGAACAGTCCCTTAAACCAGATGTGATCCAATATATGTTTAATATTGAACAGTCCCTTAAACCAGATGTGATCCAATATATGTTTAATATTGAACAGTCCCTTAAAACAGATGTGATTTAATATATGTTTAATATTGAACAGTCCCTTAAACCTGATGTGATCCAATATATGTTTAATATTGAACATCTGTTTCATAATAATTATTTACAACTACTTTACAGGGAAGTTAAGGGAATTTTACTTTACCAAGTGTTCCCAAGACCAATTTAGTCTAAAAAACATCCAGAGTGAAGCTAGAGATGTTTTGTAGACAAAATTGGTCGAGGGAACCCGTGGTTAATTAAAATTTCCAAAAATTTTGCAGTACCGGTTGTTATTTTTCAGAAATGTCCCAAGGGACGCTATGTAACCTAACCTCCCTCTGTTGGGGAAATCATAGGTCGGTAATGTTGGTCAAAAAGCGGTAAAAATAAAAACAATAAGTTACCTCATGCTTTGAAATTTCAATAATTTACTTTAATTGAGAATTGTGTTAGGTAAATCTGAACGTTTTACCCCAAACAAATCAGTGTAAGACGACTATTAGGTCAAGTTATGATTTTGAATGAAACAGTGATCCATATTGATACAGTGTCGCCTTCCCACGGATTCATTGGTCCCACACCTCACCTTGATATATTTTTTTAATGATTTTATCTTAAAAATGTATAATTTGAATAAAAAGGAATGTATTTGGTGTACAGTACAGTACAGTACAGTACAGTACAGTACAGTACAGTACAGTACACTACAGTACAGTACAGTACAGTACAGTACAGTACAGTACAGTACAGTACAGTACAGTACAGTACAGTACAGTACAGTACAGTACAGTACAGTACAGTATTTGGTGTACAATCCCTCTTGAAACTCATGAAAGAAAATATACTTTCTACATCATTTATATTGTCTGTCTATTGTTAAGAAGTGTAAAAAGAAGAATAAAAAATAGAATTATGAAATATAATTCAAAAATAGAATTTTATCTTAATGTATTTTTTGTCTCAGGGTAATTGATCTTCTTTCAATTCAAGGAGATCTTTTCAAACTAAAATGGTTTTATCTGGAATTTTCTTTTTGTTTTCATTTTCCAGATATATTGACCCACTTTCATTGGAGACTCCCACGCCAATCTCATCGGAGACCTCCAATTTTTCATTGGAGGCACACCTATAGTTTTCATATTACACCCCAAAATTTCCATGAAAGAGCCCAAGGCAAGGAAATCTAAGGACCTGTAATGAAAAAAATGTGGGTCTCCAATGAAAATCTGTGGGTTACCAAAATAAAATTCTATAAAAATTCAGGTTGGGGAGCAATTTGTGACCAAGATAAAACAACATGGGGAAAACTTCAAGGTAAACATAATAAAAATAATAAAACTATAGAACACTCTCTTCTAATTCCAAGGTTACAATTTAACCTTGTATTTATTATTCATTTTATTACTTTGTAAACCTTTAAAGGTCCTGTAGACGATATTTTTAGTTAAACTACAGTTACTGCCGAGAAACTTTAGATTGTAGACTTAAATTTCATCGGCAGTCGATTTTGCAGCTTGAAAGAAAAAGAATATATCAATTAGACTAAGCTTTAGAGGGTACCTTGTTGAATCCAGTATGTCCCTAATTTTTATATTCAGAAAAAATAATAATATTAAGCCTCTGCAGTATCATTAACCTTCATAAATGGAATGAATCTGAGTCCAAAATGGCCTCCCTCTGAATAAACCCACGTGGTATGCAGTGCACCCGGTGTCAGGTTTTTGAGGAAAAACAAAACAAAAACAAAAATAATACCTGGTCTGAGCTCTCTAGGGCTTTAGTGAAAGTGTTTAAAGGGTATACACGAAAACAAATATATGCTTCATTTTGTTTTACTTTACTGCCTCCAAAATGTATACTGCATATCCAAGGGGGGGAGGGGTACTTCAGGTTTAAACAGATAAAATAATAAATTATGATAATTATGATAATTAGTTATGAATGACTGGTTTCTTTTTTCTTGTTTCTACTTTTTTTAATAATTTTTTTTTAGTTTAAAAATTAAAGTAATAATTGTTTCATAATAATGATAATAATTCAATACTGATAACAATGATAACAATGATAATACTGATAACAATGATAACAATGATAATAATGATAACAATGATAATACTGATAACAATGATAACAATTATAACAATGATAACAATGATAATACTGATAGCAATGATAACATGATAATGATGATAACAATGATAATACTGATAACAATGATAATACTGATAATAATAATAATAATAATAATAATAATAATAAATATATATAAGGGCGACCAAGAACTCTTAAAATATGAAGATCCCAAGGTTAGGTTGTGTATTTTGCCTTGAAGATAGCCTTATAATATCTTATTTTCTGATAAGAATAATGAGTGAAATACTAAAATTCAAGAAATGAATCCTTTTTTAAAGATTATTTTGAATAATAATGATGATAATAATGATACTTCTGTATTAGGGGACTTGTTATGCCGTGAGCTGGGGTTTCTAGGCTCAGTATCCACTGCGCATGGATCTAGTGATTTTGCCACAGTACCAGTGGATGTCAAGGAATGGCAAAATTTTTATTATTTTATGAATTATCATATTTTGTTTATAAGTGCAACATTTTATTTGATAATGCATTTATGACGTGCGACTTGATTTTGGCCAGTTATTCAGGCTACTTTAATGGGACAGTTATTAAAACTTCTTTAAAGGGACAGTTATTAAAACTTTTTTTAAGGGACAGTTATTCAGGCTGATTTAAAGGGACAGTTATTAAAACTTCTTTAAAGGGACAGTTATTAAAATTTCTTTAAAGGGACAGTTAATATAAACCACTTTAAAGGGACAGTTATTAAAACCTCTTTACAGGAAATGTCGATGTAATTTCATTTGACGCTTTTTACAACGTTAATACTCTTTCTTAGATTAATTTTATTGAAAACAATGTTCTTGCTTTTTTGTGCCGCTTAATTCCGCAAATCAAAAAGTAAAAAAACCGCAACTGAAAATAATTAAATTTCAGATAGCAACATTTTTGTAAACACAAAGGTTTCAGAATTACGTTGATAGACCCTTTGCAGAATAGAAACTGGGATTTTAAATTTTAAAGATTTTTTTCTCCTCTTTTTCATTCATTTTATTATCTATGTACACTTGTTTGTTTTTATATCCTATTGAGTCTCTCCGTGTATCACTCCCTAGAGAACTTTTACAACAAAAGGAACACATTAATATATTTCATATATTTTATAGATATTTATATATATATAATATATATACTCCCACGCTCCTTCATTGTCCAGAAAACTTCTAATAAGAAGGATAAAAAAACAAGAATGCTATTCTAACAATGGAATAAAATGAAACTGGACTAGTATGAGAATTTGTTGCAATGATGTCAATGTTCTTTTTTTACTGTCGACATTTGATTTTAAAGTTTTAAATTGAATTTTTAATTTTTTGGATCGTTTTTTTCATTTTTTAAGGATATAAATTTGCAAAGTTCAATAAAGCAAACTATAACAGAATATATTTTTAAAATATTAAAAGTTTTTTTAAAAGGTTTTAAAAAGATTAACAATATTATTCACAGTTTCATTGTAGTATGGAAGTGGAACCGTAGTGCTTAGCAAAGCTATAGTGGTTGTACACATTTATTGCGGCAAAGCTATAGTGGTAATACACATTTATTGCGGCAAAGCTATAGTGGTAATACACATTTATTGCGGCAAAGCTATAGTGGTAATACACATTTATTGGATCGCTTCAAAATGCGGCAAAGATCCGAACCAGTAATTTTAAAATATCGCCACTATAAGACGGTTACTGAAAGCGTAGATTGTGAAGGTGCAGAATCATGGAAGGAATGCAATATCAAATACAGGTAAATAAAAGTGCAAAGAAAACTTTTGAACTGGAAATCCATTCCACCCGTAGCAAGGTTTAGCATTAATTTGACATTAGACGTTCAATTTGACATTTTAAGTTCAATTTGACATTTTAAGTTCAATTTGACATTTTAAGTTCTATTTGACATGTGACATTTAGTTTGACATTTGACAGCTAATTTAACATTCGACATTCATTTTTACAATAGACATTCAGTTTGACATTTGACATTCAATTTGATTTATTTAACATTTCGTTTGACATTTGAAAACCAATTTGACATTCTAGGTTTAATTGACATGTGACAATCAGTTTGGTATTTGACATTTTATTTAACATTTGACAGTCAATTGTGCGGAATTTACTGAACTGCTAGATATTTTAATATTAGGCACTGTTAACTAATTGACAGACATTAGAACCTAACAGATATTCTGAACGAATGGACTTACTGAACAATTGACCATTGTGAACATTATGTGCGTTGATCTTTGAACGATTATACAACGTAAAAAAGTACCAAAATTTTGATGAAAGTTCTCAAATTTACAACAAAAAAACTAAAACAGTTCAATGAAATGAGTATTTTTCAAATATTGAATCCAATTCATTAAAAACTGTTTAGGGAAGACTGTTTGGCAGAAGATGTTGTAAGCGTTAGATGTGAAGTAGAATCTAGATCAGGTAAATCACAAGTTAGATGTGAAGTAGAATCTAGATCAGGTAAATCACAAGTTAGATGTGAAGTGTCAGTAGACGTAATTTCAAGAGACCCTTGACATTTAAAAAGTGATTTGCTGTTTTACAACGTGACCTTTGTATGATGAGGAATATATAAGATGTTTTTAATTTTATATTTTTTATTATTTCAAGTGTGGAATCTCTATGAAAGCCATTGACTTCCCACATTATTAATTAGATAAGATGTATAGGGTACTGTTGTGAATCTGACATGGTCCTTGTAAAATAGAGCATCTCTAGACATGACAACCCCAGTCCCTTTAATGGACTGTAAACCTTATTTAAAGTTTAGTAAAAATTCCCTTTATTTTGAAATAATCGTGTGTTTAGCTTGCAAATCTGGATCTACCCCAGCTCTTGGTTCGTGCTATACTATCATCAAAGAAGCACAACCATTCCCTCAAGCACAGGTTCAATGCCGGGCACTTGGAGCAGATCTTCTAGAAATTGAGAGCCAACTTGAAAACACAGGTCATTTTCCATAATATGCTATGGTCTTGTAACCAATATTTTAAATATACTTTAAATATACACATCAGATGAGAGTGCCAGACTTTTTAAATACGGTTCTGAGATAATCTGGCACTTCTCTGCATAGCATGCTAGTGAAAAAATATGAATGCTCTCATATAACTGATGTTACAATGAATAAGTAAATTTAAAACAGTTTATTTTTCACAAATCATAAGAATGTTTTAAATCTATTTGTAAACTAACCATCCTGCAATCGTGTGTTTAACTTTGCATTAAGAATTGTTTCCAGATGTACACAAAATTTATGTTTTTATGAAAAAACAATCTTCTGTACAGTGGTTGGTCTGATAATAGAGCATAATGGTGCTGGTGCTGAACCTCTATGGACTGGTGGAGTTGTCAGTCATATCCTAGAGGCAAGTTTTATGATCTGGCATGGATCCCAACAAAGGATTACTTTTCTAAACAATCTCAACTCTTCAGACGCAGATGACAGACCTAAAGGTAAAGATTTTACATATTGCCACTCTGGTGGCGCTAGTTGTCAGTTTCATCACAAACTCCGGTGGCGCTAGTTGTCAGTTTCATCACAAACTCTGGTGGCGCTACATGCACAGTTTAATCGCAAAATTCCATGGCGCTAGTTGTACAGTTTAATCACAAAATTCTGGTGGCGCTAGTTGTACAGTTTAATCATAAATTCCGGTGGCTCTAGGTGTACAGTTTAATCACAAAATTCCGTGGCGCTAGTTGTCAGTTTCATCACAAACTCCGGTGGCGCCAGTTGTTCATTTTAATCATAAATTCCGGTGGCGCTAGTTGTACAGTTTACTCACCAAATTCTGTGGAGCTAGTTTTACACTGTACAAAATCCGGTGGCGCTAGGTGTACAGTTCACTCACAAAATTCGACGATGCTAATTGTGCTTTGTTCTGTTGAAAAAAAAACTTGACAAAGGCTACTTTCAATCTTATCTGAATTACGTATTACTATATACTGTATACTAATAATCGAACTGATAAAAACTGATAAAAAACTTTGCAATATTCAGCGTGAAAGGTTTAAAATGTTCAGGGGTAGTAATACAACTAGATGATAAAGATCTCTCCCCCTCGTGGAGAACTGAAGAGTTTGAGGCAAGTCTGCCCTATGTTTGTGAAGCAAAACAGGTTAGCAGTTTTTTGATAAATAATACTTTTTTGCAATTAATTTTCATGAGAATTTTATAATAAAGATGTTACTCCTCCATGCTAAAATATGGCAATTCCTAATTTGCTAAAGAACCCTTAGAACCTTTGTCTGATCAATTCATGATTTTTTTCTTCATTTTTTATTGTTTATATTCATTTGTGGTTTATCTGCAAAAGTGAAAGGCATTCCTTGCTTTCAATAAACAATAGAGAAACAAAAAACTTTTTGAGTCAGAAAAACACAAAATCTTTCCCATTTTCAATCAGATTTAGGTTGTAAATTGGGCAATGGGCATTGCCATTTTTGCATGATTGGTCACTTGAAATTACACTTGCCCCCAACGTAAATATCGATGTCACCTATTTTTTTTAAAATCTTTTTTAGTCTAAACACATGACAAAATAATAGTCATTGACAAAAACTCAAAGTTTCTAAAACTTATATTTATTTTACCTTATGTTGTAGACCTTTGATAATTTTGGACTATAAAAATCTGTTGGATCAAATAAATAATCTTTTTAAAGATTACAACAACAGAATGCAAAGATGAGGATTAGAAAATGGAATTGTTCAGTGACTTTCTAAAATTATTTCTCTAACTTAAATTCCACATTTTCATTACATGTAAAATATAATGTATAAATGTATTTAAAAACAATATGAATGTTGATAGATTTTAATCAATTGTTATCCTAAACACACGTACACAAATCCATATAATCCATATGGCTTTAGGAATTCAAGTCTTGTATAGAGAAAGTTAAGTTAAGCTGGGTTCTCGAGCTAGTTTTCGTTTTATTTCAGTTTTGTTCAGGACGACATTGGTTGTCTATCTGGTGAAGATCCTGAGGGCGTAAACTATACTGGACCTGGTGCTAGAGATGGGATGGGAATAGATTGTATCCCCTGGAATACTGCAGGACTAGGTAAACTATATATACTGGACCTGGCTGGAGCTAGAGATGGGATGGGAATAGATTGTATCTCCTGGAGTACTGCAGGACTAGGTAAACTATACTGGACCTGGAGCTAGAGATGTGATGGGAATAGATTGTATCTCCTGGAATACTGCAGGACTAGGTAAACTATACTGGACCTGAAGCTAGAGATGGGATGGGAATAGATTGTATCTCCTGGAATATCGCAGACTAGGTAAACTATACTGGACCTGGAGCTAGAGATGGGATGGGAATAGATGCACTTTATTTCTTTTAAAAAACATTTTTGCTTTTAATTGTGATTCCTCCACAAATTTGATTTGTGGATTTTTACTGTAGAACCAATATGGTAAAAATTGCCAGAATTGAACAGTTTTTAATCTTAAACAACAATGTCAAATAAAGGTATCAAATTAACTTTTAAGAATCATCGATGAAACATTTTTGAAGGGGTTGCTTGAAATACTTTTAATAAAATACTAATTTTAGATCCGTCTGAGGAGTACTCTCAGTGGACCCATAATCTCTGTCGTAATCCTGATGATTCATTTGCTCCATACTGCTATTTAGATACTACAGGAGAACCCAGTACATGTCTTATTCCTAGGTAAATATACATATATATAATATATATTATATATATCTCTTGTTCCCTGTTTTCCTTTTCTTCTGTTTTTGACCCGATTAAAAATTAATAAATTTTACCTGTGTGCACTATCTAGGGCTGGGCTTGTTCTCTAAATTTTTTAATCGTTTGTTCCGTTCCGTTCGTTCGGGGAAAGGGCGATCATTCGTTAGGAACGGCGCCCAGCCCTCTAGCACTATCCCGGTTTAACAAATAATACTGTAGATATAAGATCGTTTGGTTTTCACTTCTTTTAACAAAATCCGTTGTTTTTAGTCAATCATTAATTTCTTAACAGTAAACTAAATTAAATTTGCTAGGTGTGTTTCGTTCCAAAAAAGTTCCCAGTCCCCTGGAGCAGAATGCCCATATTTACAGAGCAGCACCTCAGAACCAATCTTTCTAGGTAAGCAAAAGTTCTAACCCCTGAAAATCCAGAAAACACTAATTTAATCCTTATATCTTTGCAACCCAATGTCGTAGACCTTAGATATTTCAAACTATGAATTCAGTTAGTTCAACGGTTTACAATTTCAGGTTTCAAAGATATAGGGATTAGACATTTAGGTTTGTGACAAAGAATCCATTTCTTGCTTTTTTTTGAAGAATAAAATAAAGTTTCGGCATTTAAGCATTTAGTGATCAAATGTAATTCAAAGTTGGCAATACCTGATTAACCAAAGTTTACCTTTAACTACCTAATTAACCAAAGTTTACCTTTAAATACCTGATGAACCAAAGTTTATCTTTAAATACCTGATTAACCAAAGTTTACCTTTAAATACCTAATTAACCAAAGTATACCTTTAAATAGCTGATTAACCAAAGTTTACCTTTAAATACCTAATTAACCAAAGTTTACCTTTAAATACCTCATTAACCAAAGTTTACGTTTAAATACCTAATTAACCAAAGTTTACCTTTAAATACCTCATTAACCAAAGTTTACCTTTAAATACCTGATTAACAAAGGTTACCTTTAAATACCTGATTAACAAAGATTACCTTTAAATACCTGATTAACAAAGGTTACCTTTAAATACCTGA